CTTTGGAATAAATTGGCCTAAGTGATAATTACTGGGGGCTTCTTTTAGCTGAATTTTTAATTTTTCATGATTTTTACAACTAAAAGTTCCCTCAGACCTTACCTGGCAGTTTGTTTTTCTGTAGCACACAACCTCCAGGAAGTAGGAGTAATAATTTTTTTTTTATCAAGTGTAGCTGTAGCTCTCACATACATTGCAAAGTGGTTGATCGAGAAGGTGATGGTTTTCAGGCATCCTGAATGCGCTGGAAGTCCAATGTGGATGTGCCAGTGGTTGAAGCTGCCTCAGGTCTTCTGTGAGCTGGATATGTAAGACTATTCAGTGTTGAACTGTAGCTCTGACACTCTGGATGCTTCTACCAGCTGATATCACTGATCTGATCTTTTAGCTCCTCCTGTCTTAATTTAGATAGATTATGTGTATCTTCAGGGCTTTTCCTTTTAATTACAACGTCTGAGTTACTTTATCACAGTCTTCAGTCCTACTTATTATTTTGGCTGTACAAGAGAACCACCAGCCTCCAATCAGAGACTTTTTGTACCCCAGGAAATTGGACTGTAATGGAAATGCTTAAAGAAAATGCACATAACCTTAGGAACGTAGGAAAAGTCTGAGTACACAAGACTCAAGTAGTTTTGATAGTTTTAACTGTTATTTTTAGTTTCTCTGGTCCAAGATTTTTATCTGGCTGTGAGGTCAAGTTATTCAAGTTATTTGTGAGTTACTGGATCTGCTGGTGTTACTGGGTCTGCCAGTGTTCCTAGGACAGCTGGTAACCACTGTCACCCAGAGCTTTTGTTTTGTGCTCAGTGCTGGGTACTGCCAGATGTCACTTCCTGATACTGGTTATATGAGAGCTAAATTTTCTTGGAAAAAAATTAATTCTGGCTTTGTCAGCCAATAGAGATAAAAAAAAAAGTATCAGTTTTGTCAGCAACTTTCCTCTTTTTATATTAAGGTTTAGCATAGTACAGTGAAGTGTAACGTAATCAGTTAAATTACAGTGCTCACCTTACATACCAACTATGCTAACCTGTCCTTAAATTCACTTAATATTTAGAATTATATTTCTGTAGTACTTAATGTTTTTTCCCTTTTTTAATGCAGTTTTAAAAATCTAAAATACGTGTTGCATATTGTACTGAGGATGTTACAAAAAAATTCTAGACTAGAGAAAACTTGAAAAAAAGGCTTATTTTGAAAGCACCTTAGATTTGGACCATGGCCACCATTTGCCTTCTGTTTCTGCCATAATTGTGCTATGATAAGGCAATCCCTGGGCTTTCCATTTTGAGCTGTGCATTTCATGTAGAAGAGTCTTGTTTAGCTGCACATCTTGCTGTAATTCAGTTGGGTGAATATTGGAGATACCCTGTCAAACACGCCCAGAGCATGGAGAAATATTGTTTACCTCACTGATCTTAAACACCTCTGATAAAGGAGATTACACAGTCTCCCAGGCAACTTGTCCTGGTTTATCACTTGCCCTGGAGAGAGAGCTCTTCCTCTTATCTAACCAGTACTGTCTTTGCTGTAGGTTTAACTCTGCCTTCCTCCTTCTGTGCTCGATGAGACAGATTTATCAGTATATGATAATTATGTGAAAGTAGTTGTCATACTCATCACTAACTACCTCTTTTATAGTTTCAGAGGTTTCCCAACAGTCATACCCTCAAGTCTGTTATTTCCATCGTAATCTTCTGGACTGGTTTGTTTTGTATATGCTTTTCTTTAACACTGGTGTCCTTAACACTGTATTTTGGGGTGGTGCTAGCATCAGGTCATTAGTGTGATGTCTTATATCTGCTTCTACAAGAGTCTAGTATTTTACAGTGCTTTCCACAGCATTGCTTTGCTTGTGCCTACTTATTTGCGATGTCTGGAATTTGTTATACTCTTGCATGCATACCTGTTGTACTCTTGCCTACACAATTGTTTTTTATTCTGGTTTTTTATGTACATGATTTTTGCTGCCAACTACTTCATATTTGTTTTTTATTGAATTTCATCTTGTTGACTTTGGTCAGTTCAATCACTTTCCATCATTTAAATCATTATTGAAGAGGGAGGCAAAACCTCTTCGGTGACCTCACTTAAAATGCCTTTTAGTTTGATAATGAACTGCTTACTATGGGAGTTTTCTCCTGCAGTGTTTTTGAGCAGCTATGTGCCCACTTACTTAATTAGCATAAGCAACTGCCACAAAGGTACATTAAAGTTCACATAAATTACACCTGCTCCTTTCCTTAAAGCATCTGTCAAAGAAGAAAATTACAGTAGTTTAATTTACTTCTTTATTGTGTTGGTTGCTTCTTATCTTGATGTCTAGAAGTTATAAACTACCTATTTCAAATAGTTTATTCTAGTATCGTTGTGGATATTAGAAGTGGTATAGTTGACAGTCTAATAGTCCCTGAACTTCTCATTTACAAAAAGTTATATCGGTTTTCTCCTTTCCACCTGCCCAAGATCTTCCACATCTTATTTTTTTCAAAGAATATTTTTAAGTTCTGGACAACATCTAGAAATTATAGATGCTGATTAAGCAAGGCCTTCAAGTATTTTCAGTTTCCAGATTTTACTAGTAGAATTTAGATTATAGACAAAATGATGATGGGTGGATCGTGAGGTGGGTTGAAAACTGGCTGAACTGAACTGGCAGGCTCAGAGGGTTATGGTCAGCAGCACAAAGTCAACAGAAGGTCAGTCACTGGTGGTGGACCCCAGCAGGTCATACTGGAGTCGGCAGCATCTTTATTATATGACCTGGATGAGTGGATAAGAGGCTTTACCCTCAGCAGCTTTGCAGGTTATACAAAACTGGGAGGAGTTATTGCTGCACTAGGTGTTTGTGCTGCCATCCAAAGGCTGAAGAAATGGGCCAGAACTGGGGGTCCTGGTGGATACCAAGCTGAACATGAGCCAGCAGAGGAGGCCAGTTGAGTAAGGTGATTCTTCCCTTCTGCTCAGCGCTGGTGAGACACATCTATAGAGCTGTATCTGGTGCTGGGTTTCCCAGTACAAGGCAGACATGGACATACTGGAGAGAAGGGCCACGAAGATGATTAAGGGCTTGGAGTATCTGTCATACAAGAAGCTGCTGGGAAAGCTGGGGTGCTTTAACATGGAGGAGAAAAAGCTCAGAGGGCATCTTAATGATGTGTATACATACTTGTTAGGTTGTTTTCAAAAAAAGAAAAAAGGGCAAGAAAACATTTAGTGAAGTGAGCATTTTTAGTATGTAAAGGCATACTTGGTTTTTTTTATTGTTTTGATTTGTTTCCCCCTGCCCCAAAAACTGGTTCTTTGCCATTTCTCACTTATTTCCCAATATCATTGCTCAGGCTGTCAAGCCTTCTTGTCCTTTCTGTCTCTCAGAAGTAGCATACAGAGAATTGGTGGTTGTTGTTTGGCTGCTTAAATATGGTTTGAACTTTGGAGGATTAGGGCAAATCTTTTTAAGGAGAACTTGGGTGTAATTGATCATTACCATGAAAGAGGTGAAGATATATACCATTGCCCTCACTTTGCCCTAATGATTTCATATAAAATGATTTCAGATGTTCACATTTTTGTTGCAGAATAATAAAATATGATAGTACTGGTGAAGAAAAAGTTAAAAATGGGTAGTTTACACAGCAGACGTTATAGTGTCTTGTGTGACCTAATTTTAAGTCACATGTCAGAGGACTTAAAAAAGGGAAATGGTGTCATTATAAGATTTTTAATTCTCTGAAAGTCATTGTAAACATTTCCTATTCATATTTTTATCACACTTTCTGATCTGTATGAATGTGCAGCAGCCTACTGTTCTAATAACCTTCAAATATGCACCTCTGTCAGCATTTCCATTTCTTCTTACATAAACTATCTGTATCCTCTCGTGATCACAACTTCTTCAACCCTTGGAAATAAGTGCAAATATTTTATGGAAGACTTTAACTATCTCTGTACGGTTTTCGCCTCCCGAATGATGGTACAAATATGGGCCAGTATATCTGGAGCAAAACGGTATTTCCTCACCAGTGAGTTGTATCTAGCAAAGATAGGCAGGTTCTTAACTTAAAGCCTGGTGTAGTTGTTCCTGAAACAGCTGTATGTACAAGCAATTCTAAAGTCAAGGTACAGCAGCTTGTTGGTATCTTGAGGAGGATGATGGGTTCATCCTTTCTGCCTGTCTCCTCTCCTTCCTTTTCTCCTGTGACTGCTCCACTGCATTTACACTCTTCCAGTGATTTCTTTATCTCACCAAATTGGCAGAAAACTCTCCACAGCGTTGACTTAATTTGTTTCCTCCTTGAGTTCATTTTGCTCAGCATTTGTGAGTCCCTGTGTAGGTGGCAAGGAGGAGGTAGGAGCGCTAAGCCCCAGCACAGAGGATGTGAGGAAGTGATAGGATGTCCCCTTCTCAGTGCTGGAGAGCTGCCAGGTTTGCTCAGTGCCTCTTGTATGATCACGCTGATAATATAGAGCAAGATGGGATTGTTCGAAGTGAGTTTAAGACTAAGGAAAATGACTAGAAAGGATGCTCTTAGTCGGGCATAGAATTATCTACTCAAACTTGCTGAAAGCAGTTCAGCAGAAGCACCTATCCATGCCTTTTAAACTGTAACTAGCAATATGATATTTGAATAAATCACAAAAGCGAAGACTGGCAAAATATAATGTTTAAATTTCAGTTCTAGTACTTTATTGCTTAAATTCTGTTGTTTTGTAATTATTTTATTCCAGACTGTTTTAAGTGGTACCATTTGCTGTGTCTGTTGTCCCACTGCCCTGGTTTGGATTTCATATTCTTTTAGCTTCTACAGGAACAACTCAAAAGTCCCCTGGAAACAAGGCAATCCTGTTTGATGGATTCAGACAAGCTTTCATTCTGGCCCATCAAGCATATAGATAAAGTGTAACTTTTATAGTAATGGTTGTAAAATCTTCATGATCCAGAACAAGCAGTAGTAGTGTGATGGTTTGTGTAATAACACTCTTTCTCCTTTTTGTAGGTCCTTTTGTTCTGCATCACAGCTGCTCTGTTCATGTTCTTCTTCAGGTATGTTGCTAGTATATCTATTTATGTTGTAAAAATTATTTTAAACAGTGTTTCTTAGAGCTTACTTGGTTTTTGGTGTTCATCTCAAAACTTTTATGTTCTCAACTCCAACTTTCTGAATTGAGTGGAGTGCTTCTGTGGCATCAAAAACCCAGTGCTTTGAGCATAATTGAACTTAAAGGGGAAATGTTGAATATTATTTGTTAAATCTTCTGGAGATTATACTGGTTACTTAGGGAGTCTCATCTCATACTTATGACTCTGGAGATCTAACGTTGCATAGTACAAAAACAGCTGAAATCTTGCTTTTCATATATGTTCTCACAAGTTATGAGTTGTATTCCTTTTTTAAAACATACAGTAACGGGGGTGGATAAGACATTCATTTTAATTACTTTTTTCTCTCTCACTTTGCAAAATATGTCATTTGCCTTGTCACTGTTTCCCTTTAAATAGTAGACCTCTCAAATTTTATTATATCTCAAACTGGAAAGTTGCTTTTCAAAGTAACCTTTGACTATAACCCTTTGACTTAGAATTTTCTGTGGCACATAGCCATGTATGGTTCTTCAAGCTGTATGATCCCCTGGTAATTGCAAAACTCTGGAAGCTGCGGCTTGTTTTTTTTTGTAATTCCATTACTTACGGATATTGGCCAAGAACAGTCTGTGGATAGAGGAGGGCTGTTAATTTAGAGGATTCGAAGAAGCATTCCTCCTTTCATCTATAACCCATTAAGAACCTTGCATTGGCAGTCTTCTTGCTTTATTTTCTTCTATGTCCCAGAGTTAAGCTATAACAACCTCAGAGAATTTGACTTACAGGTTTGAGGTTAGGCACCTGTCTGCATGAATGCTGATCAAACAACTCAAAACATTAAAATTCTGGTCAAAACTATAAATATTGTATGATTTTGGAGGAAGCTAATTGTCTTTATGTCTTTGGTAATGAACCAGTGTTTTAGAGAGAATCTGCAAGTTAAATCACAGAATCCTAGAATAGTTAGAGCTGAAAGGAAGCTTCAAGATCATTTAGTTCTAACCTCCCTGCCATGGGCAGGAACACCTTCCACTAGACTAGTATTCATAGCCCCATCCAGCCTGGCCTTGAACCCTTCCAGAGATGGGGCATCCACACCTTCTCTGGGAAACCTCTTCCAGTGACTCACCACCACATGGTATCTCACATTTAAGAATTTTGTCTTAATATCAAATCTAAGCTTTCAGTTTGAAGTCATTACCTCTTGTCCAGTCACTGCATGCCCATGTAAAAAGTCCCTCTCCAGCTTTCCTGTAGCCCATTTAGGGGTAAGAATTGATGCAGACCCTAGAGGTATTTGGTGAATTTTCCCCTAATCTGACACAGCAAGACTGGCAATTGAATGGGCTCCAAACCGTTTTGTCTTCTAAAATTCGTTGCTCCATGCTAAGGTTGATGGATATCCTGTTGAGCAATCATCAGCAATATTTAACTCCTTTTGTCTTTGTGTTTTAACCAAGGAATTAAAATAGAATATCAGGTTTAGTTTAATTCTTGGGGGAAGAAAATCGGTTTGTAAACACCAACAAAAGTGCTAAGACAAGATAAATTTGTAAAAAATAATTAGCACAGACCAGTTTTGGAGGGTTTTTTTTCTTAGAGTAATGAGTGTTGTGAATAGAACTTCTTCACAGTGGTTCATGTGCTACTTTTCTAAAGAAACCAGATAGATGGGTCTGGGTGAAAATACCTCTGGGCATGCACAGAGTCTACTCAACTGCTCATGGAGAAGAGACAGCAGAGAGGTCACTTGATCAGCCCACAGTTGTTGTATGTTCGTCTGGACTGGCTGTGACTGTGGGTTAGTTGTTGTCTTAACCCGTACATGAATTAATGATTGATCCCCTTCAGTAAGATTTTGGACAGCCCTTGGAAGAATCCTGTGTGGATCCATCCAGAGTCCCAGGGGAGGCAGTCTTCCTATCTGTTGGAAGCAGAGAATAATTGGGAGAGTCATTAAACTGCATTTCCTGTTTAATGGCTCAAAATCACTTCAACGTTTTTCCTAATCATAAGAGGATCAAACTGACAATATCATGTTCATACTTTTGGAATAAACACCTTCAAAGTCAGATCTGCTTGGCTTATAGAATATATTCCCATTGACTATGAAACACTGTTTACTGTTAACAAACCTTTACCGACCTGAAAACCAGAAAATTCTATCTTGTTTTGTATTTAATCTGTTTCCGAAGTGTCCTCCCCATTTTTTGTCCTCCCCACCCCACCAAAATATCCAAAAAGGTCTGAGTGCAGTAGCAGTCATGGTCACCAAGGTCATATAATTCCTTTCATCATTAAACATAAAATCCTAGTATCTAAATCGTGTAATTTGAAGCTTAAAACTTTTCTGAAAGAGACTTAACATAAGTCTACCTCTATGGTATGAAAATCTGACTGATGCTTGGAAGTCAGATGTTGCAGGGAATAAAGGCAAAGTAGTCTTTTATTTTCTGCCTTATCCAAGGTTATCAGATTCTCTGAGCTTAAAAGTGATGACTCTACCCAGTTGGTAGCTCTGGTAGGCACTGCATTCCTGGAAGGTCCAGTTTTAATTAAACCTGGCTATTATTTCTGCTCTGGGTAATTTTGACCTGAATTATTGTCCCTGCACAGCTTGTGCCGTGGTGCACAGTAGCTGGCGTTGGCACTGTGAGGCAGTGGTGGTGGTTGGGATAAGCATGGAAAGCAGAGGTGCTCTTTAGCATTCAGATGGACTTTGCTCATTTTTAAGTGGCTGCTTACCAGCATGGCTTAAGGTGATGGTTTATGAACCTAGGAGATGAAGAGTTATTTGAACTGGAAAGTTCAGAACTGTTTTCTTTGTGGAGGAATTGAGATATATCCTGTCCATCACACAGCTTCCAGGGTATCTTTCAGGTTGCCATGTTAGCAGCAGCCTGTTGACTTTGCATTTGAAAGCTGAGTGCTCTCGTTGATAGTTATCCATTAAAAAACAAGAAAATCAATGTGGCACATAATTAATTGCAGTATGATCATACCTCTCCTTTAAGGTGGGTATCTGCCTGCCTTCATTGTTAGGAAATAGATGTATGAATCTTAGACTATGGAAGTATAGGCATTGTTCGTCTTGATTTATTTTCCTTTTCTAATAAAATGATTTTTTTTTCAGTATCTCATTATAATGTCTATCTTGCATTATTTTCTAAACAAATTCTGTAATAGAGGTCTGTTGGCCAGGCAGATGTTTCACACTAGTTGAAAACTTCACCATCATGAGCCTTGATATTTATCACTGGAGTTTCTCCCAAATTTTGTTGGATTGTTTGAACATAATTGCATCTGCTACAGGACAACAAGAAAAAGAAGGTGCTAAATCTCAGGAGTTAAGAAGTGAGGTTACAGAACTGAAATGGTAGAAGAAAAAAACCAGGAATAATTACTTCAGAATTGATAAAGTGAAAAAGAAGTCAGAATGAAATGTAAATTCAGAAGAGCAATATGAAAAGGAAGACAGCAGGAAGAGGGAAGGAGAAAGTGACTGAAGAGGGAAAAAAACAAGATCATGTCAGCTGACAGGGCAAAAAATAGAATAATAAGCTAGGAAAAAAGCAGCTGAAATGCAGATGATAGGTTTGCAAGCAACAGAGTTATATTTACAGAGAAAGCATATTTTAGTTAAGTATTTTTTTCTTTCTTCTCTTCCATCCTCCTCTTCTTGTAGTTTTCTCCTAGCTTAAACCTCTGTTTTTTCTCAAAATGCTTCTGTTCCACTCCACTGGAAGTGATGAAATTAAAATGTGTTACTCATTTGTGGGTAACTGTGGAATCTGACATATGTATATTTAATTCACAAATATAGGTAACCACAGTTGGCACAGGATTCTTCCCCCTTACACCCATTTTGTTCTAAAACACTTAGATACTGAAGTGTGTCTGGGGGCGAGAAATGTTCCTATATCTGTAGGAATTAATTGTTAGGTCTCATTGAACTCCGGTGGGGCTTAGTATTCACTGCTTACTCAAAAAAAATAGTAGTTTGTGGTGTCATCTGATGTCCTGTATGATTTGTTTTAAAATGCACCATTCTTCAAGTGTCTTGTAAGAAAAGCACACTTTTCTTTAATGCATCTATTTAAAAAAAAAAAATTAAATTTGCATTGAATTAAACTTATGGGTATAAAGGTTTTGGTTATACCATGGTTTCATGCCATTTTATTTCAGTCTGGATAATTCATGGTACTGACTTTCTAGAATACTCCTCTAGAATAATTGAATAGAATGAAATAAAGAAGTAGGAGGATCCTACAATACGTAAAATAAGTATTTGTAAAATGCAGTTGAATTGTTATTTTAATAGCAGTTCTATTTTGAATATTACACTGGGGATTTTTTGGAAGGGTGATGTAATGGGTGTGCTTTTATGTGTTTGAAGAAATCCACAGAATATAAAACTTGCAATCTCTGTACAAAAAAAGGAACACCTACATATAAATCCTATCCATATAAACATAGAAAATCCAGCAATTTTTGTGAATATGTGTTGGCAGACTACAGTACTGGTTGCTATAGTAGTTAATCCTTAGACCATGTACTACCAATTTATAATATGCACATGTTAATTCATCTACTCTGAATCCTAGAAAGGAAAGTTCCATGTATGAGCTGAAACTAGCTATTATGGGAAGCTGGATGTTTCTGATGATTGATTGATCATAAGTTGAGGATGAAGGCTGCCTTCTCTAGAGATAAAGTGTTATTTTCTGAAACAATAATTTTGGGCAATCAGAAGTTACTGCTGTGATTTCACAAAGCAGAACATCATGTTTTTCATAACTCAGTATTTGTATAGCTCACAACAGAAAGCTCTTGATCTCTTAATGTCATTTACATATTATGTACTGATTAAAAATGAATAATGAACATCTAAGAAATGCAGATGCAGTGTCATATACTGCCACTAAGTATATGGAGTATTGAAACTTGTGTGAAGTCACTGA